ACTGAAGTGACATGTATGTTTAAAAACAGAAAAAGTGAGCAAATTAAAAGTGAAGCAAACAAGCAAAGAAAAATTACAGGAGGTCAATGCCACATTCACATTTAACAGTGAAGTGATATATAAAACTAAAACGAAATAAATAAATAATAATAACGTAAATGAATGTAATTGCATTAAAATGGATAGTGACTACAACCTTCGACCCTGTGAGCTGCTGATCTGTTCCTTCAGTGAAATGGCTTGCCGGAGCAGACCGTCTATGTTCTTGAAATAGAGACTACTATTTGTCATGCTTTTCACCGCACTGAAAGACACCAACACACACACACAAAAACCGATATGAAGCACATTAAATAAAATACTGCATAATATAAATCATCAATTTATGTAATGCATATCTTACCTGCATGCATATTCAACAGTGTAGATTGCCCCTTGACTTTGTTCCTCCCAACTCTGCATGTCTGTCTACAAATTCACAATTCATCACGACACTTCAGTCAACTAGTTAATATAATAACAATAAATATATATTTCATTTATAATGAGCTTTTCTCATAACCAAAGAGCAAAAATACAAATATAAAAGAAAATACAATAAACAGCAATGATAAAGCAAAATAAATTCAAAACATCATAAATCATCAATTTATGTAATGCATATCTTACCTGCATGCATATTCAACAGTGTAGATTGCCCCTTGACTTTGTTCCTCCCAACTCTGCATGTCTGTCTACAAATTCACAATTCATCACGACACTTCAGTCAACTACTTAATATAATAACAATAAATATATATTTCATTTATAATGAGCTTTTCTCATACCCAAAAAGCAAAAATACAAATATAAAATAAAATACAATAAACAGCAATGATAAAGCAAAATAAATTCAAAACATCTACATATTTGTCCACACAAATTCATAATTACAACATTTAAGTCAACTTGCTAATAAACTAATGATAATAATAATAAATGGTATTTATAATGCAATTTTCCCATAACCAACTTGCTACAAAAAATACAAATAAAAGACAATAAATAAAAATAAATAGACAACACCTGCATGTCTGTCTACAAATGCTTCTATTGTTCTCCTCATTTGTAAGTCGCTTTGGATAAAAGCGTAATTCATTACAACACTTAAATTATTAGTTCACTTCCAGAATTAAAAATGTACTGATAATTGACTCACCCCCATGTCACCCAAGATGTTCATGTCTTTCTTTCTTCAGTTGCAAAGAAATTAAGGTTTTTGAGGAAAACATTCCAGGATTTTTCTCCATATAATGGACTTCAATGGTGGCCAATGGGCTGAAGGTCCAAATTGCAAATTGTTTCAATGCAGCTTCAAAGGGCTCTACACGATCCCAGCCGAGGAATAAGGGTCTTATCTAGCAAAAAGATTGGTCATTTTCTTAAATTTTTTAAAAATTATATACTTTTTAACCACAAATGCACATCTTGCACTAGCTCTACGATGTGCGTCTGCAAATTCACGCATAATGTAATCACGTTGGAAAGGTCACGCGTGGTTAGCTCTTCGTCTGTGTACTCCGGTTCAAAAAGGTAGAGTTGGGCGGAAAACTCCATCTCATATTCTCCTCCAACTTCAAAATTGCCCGACATCATTGTTTTACCATTTTTGTACAGGGGATTTGACTTTCTTTGCACGTTTGCTTTGTAAACACTGGGTCGGTACTTCCGCCTGACCTTTCCAACGTGATTACGTAATGCATGAAGTCGAGCTAGTGCAAGACGAGCATTTGTGGCTAAAAAGTATAGAAACTTTCAGTTTTTTAAGAAAATGGCGGATCGTTTCGCTAGATAAGACCCTTTATAATGCAATTTTCCCATAACCAACTTGCTACAAAAATACAAATAAAAGACAATAAATAAAAATAAATAGATAACACCTGCATGTCTGTCTACAAATGCTTCTATTGTTCTCCTCATTTGTAAGTTGCTTTGGATAAAAGCGTAATTCATTACAACACTTAAATTATTAGTTCACTTCCAGAATTAAAAATGTACTGATAATTTACTCACCCCCATGTCACCCAAGATGTTCATGTCTTTCTTTCTTCAGTTGCAAAGAAATTAAGGTTTTTGAGGAAAACATTCCAGGATTTTTCTCCATATAATGGACTTCAATGGTGGCCAATGGGCTGAAGGTCCAAATTGCAAATTGTTTCAATGCAGCTTCAAAGGGCTCTACACGATCCCAGCCGAGGAATAAGGGTCTTATCTAGCAAAAAGATTGGTCATTTTCTTAAATTTTTTAAAAATTATATACTTTTTAACCACAAATGCACATCTTGCACTAGCTCTACGATGTGCGTCTGCAATTTTTTTTTAAATTATATACTTTTTAACCACAAATGCACATCTTGCACTAGCTCTACGATGTGCGTCTGCAAATTCACGCATAATGTAATCACGTTGGAAAGGTCACGCGTGGTTAGCTCTTCGTCTGTGTACTCCGGTTCAAAAAGGTAGAGTTGGGCGGAAAACTCCATCTCATATTCTCCTCCAACTTCAAAATTGCCCGACATCATTGTTTTACCATTTTTGTACAGGGGATTTGACTTTCTTTGCACGTTTGCTTTGTAAACACTGGGTCGGTACTTCCGCCTGACCTTTCCAACGTGATTACGTAATGCATGAAGTCGAGCTAGTGCAAGACGAGCATTTGTGGCTAAAAAGTATAGAAACTTTCAGTTTTTTAAGAAAATGGCGGATCGTTTCGCTAGATAAGACCCTTATTCCTCGGCTGGGATCGTGTAGAGCCCTTTGAAGCTGCATTGAAACTGCAATTTGGACCTTCAACCCATCGGCCACCATTGAAGACCATTATATGGAGAAAAATCCTGGAATGTTTTCCTCAAAAACCTTAATTTCTTTGCGATAGACATGAAAATCTTAGACGACATGGGGGTGAGTAAATGATCAGGAAATGTTTATTCTGGAAGTGAACTAATCCTTTAAGTCAGCTTGTTAATGTAATTATAATACATTTTATTTATAATGTGCTTTTATCATACCCAAAGCACTACAAAAAAATAAAAACATAAAAGACAATAAATAACAACAACAAAACATGACATAAAATAGAACAGAAAAAAAAAACAATCACCTTATTAAAAAGCGTAAGTCAAACTAATAAGTGTAGGCTATTTTGAAAATATGAGTTTTTAACAGTTGCTTTTAAACATGAAATAATCAGTAATTTACACAGTATAACATTGTTTTCCAGCCAAAAATAGTATTTATTTGATAATTTACAGTTATAGATTATAATGTGAATTGGGATTCTAATATGGCAGCTCAAATGTTAATTATTCAGGCAAATATCTTTCAAAAAACATTACAGTGTTTAGGCAATTATATTGTCTGTATTACTGTAATATAGGCTGGGCAATATAAATGAAACATTAAAATAACGCACCTTGTGTTGTACGAGCTCTGGCAGGGATCTCCTGACGTGCTCTTGCAACCTGTAAAGCGCTATCGACGGTTCATTGGCCAACACGTACATGCTCTCTGTGAATTTATCAGTCACTGTAGTAGAAATAAACAAAACACGTGATCAGTGTCTTTTCATCAGGTGCATAACAAATTATGTGTAATCTCAAATCAGACTATCGACGAGACACTCGTAAATAACGCGTCTAATAAATTCAGTAATGTAAATTAAATATTAAAGATCACGCATACACAAGTACACTAAGTCGTTGTTGATTATAGACATAAGAACTCTGAATCTATCCATGGTAGCCTACCTCTTTTTACTTTCAACTGCATTTCTTGGTCCTCCATCTTTATTAAATATTAACGTATGATATAAATGTATAAATTTCCTTATGAAAGCGTAGCTGTTCCCCTACAATAACATCATCCGGAGGAACACCAGGCCAATATAAGTAGTTCCTAGCCACTAGTTCTGGGCATTATGATTCATCTCAGTGACTCGAATCGTTTGAATCGGTTCACCTATAAGATTAGTTCGTTCAGTGGCCCTTTCTGCAGATGTTTACGCAAGTAACGAGTCATTGAACGATTCGTTCAAAATACCGAGTCGTTCATGACTGAAATAAATCGTATTGAAAGTAACAACTTGTTTTTTTTAAGTCTACTGAGAAATCACAGAAAGATATACGCATTGAAGCATCATATGCGTTTTCCCCACAAAAGACAACAAAGAAGATCATATTTTTTCACCCAAACATTCCACTATCTAGGAAGCTGATGGGCTGACTGTTGTGAACTACAATGAAAAAGACAACAAACATGAATAAATAAAGGTAGATAGATAGACAGACAGATTAAAGCACCTACTCAATGAAGGGGCGTATTGATCAGATTCAACCAATGAAATGCTCCTTCCCAGCCCGCCCTCAAAAGCCAGTAAAGCAGTCACGAGTTTCAAGGAGTCAGTACATGAAACTGAACTAAAACGATTCTTAAAAGATTCGTTCAAAACCCCCGACTCGTTAATGAACACCACTTACAGCTACTGTTCCAACTCCAATAGTTAAGAAAGATGCGATTAATTTCGCAGCCAAAGGTAAAAAATATATATATTATGAGAAAAGTAATGTTTCATACGATATCATTAAATAGAGTTTGAGTTTGTTGAGCTCAATGCACATGCAAGACTCCTATTTCAGTTTCACTTTTGCAAACGAATCAGGAAACAAAAGCAACATATTCGATCTTACGAACCTGTGAAGTTTAAGATCATGTTTTTTCATAAAGTTTAAACAATCGAAGGTAAGATTCTCCTAAGACATATTTTCTTATTTTATATTAGTATTATTAACTAATTATGCACAATAATTGGCGCTAATCTTGTTTATTATCTTGTTATTATTTAATCTTGTATATTATTTCTCTATATTTTTCTATATTGCGTTCATTTAAATCAGGTTTAATGATAAGTGATTATGGAAAACCGACATGACGAGAATGCTGTAAACCATTCCACCACTCTGACGAATAAACAGCGTGGGAATGAGGTCACAGTTCGACCGGCCACTTTAGACAGTGAGTCTATATACCTCCTTCTATATACTGTTTATTAGAGGCAGATTTCAAATGCATACATTTGAAAAATATTCAATAGAGTCTTTTTAAGTATAATTATGGCATTTAATTATGTTTTATAGACCTCTCAATTCATCAGCTGGCAGCCCATGGAGAGATTTCACAACTGGAGGTACATTTATCCAAAGGTACCAGTAAACATCCAACACGTGCCTAAATAAAATAAAATAAAATAGATAAATATGTGTATCCAGCGCATGCATTAATAGATAAATATGTAAGTACAGTAGAGATCAAAATTAGAGAACCTACAATTTTCATAGGACTGCTTGCTTAGTCCTATTTAAAGTTATACTAAAAGCAGTAGAAGCGCAATTTTTTAAAGCATATTTCATAAATTAATTGTATTCTAGAGCACAATATAAAAAACTCAAATGAGATATTTGAAAAATAACTCTAATCAAAATTAGAGAACACTTACAGATACCAATAGTTATTGGTGTTAATCTGGCACCTGGTGCTAATTTCCTTAATTATATGACATTACCTATTTAACTGGCAACATTCCTTTAATATTCACTGAGATTAGAAGATGGCGGCCCGCTTTATGGTGATTGAAAGCTTGCGTCCAGATGAAGGTTAAAGGGATGTCCCTTTTAGCCACTGCACAAGAAGTTTGTCGTTCCAAATTTGACGTTTCTAGAATATTGCAGCTTTACAATGACACTAATTCATTCAAGTCCTCCAAAAAGGCTGGTCGTCTACTTAAGACAAATGTACGAGAAGACAGGATAATGCGGAGCCTTTCAATGGGGAATCGGTTCAACTCTGCAGCTGGAATTGCTCACCAGTTCAGTGCTGAACAGGGTATGGATCTGTCTCGGCATGTTAAAGAGAAGTCGGACTGAAAGCGCACTCTGCAGTGACCAAACCTCTCATCAGCAGAAAGAATCAAAAGGCTAGGCTCACCTTTGCTGAGGAGCATGTTGTGTGGAGAGAGGAGAACTGCTCCAAAGTTCACTTTAGTGATGAGCGCAAGTTTAATTTATTTAGGTCTGATGGGAAACATTATGTTCAGCATCAAACTGGGGAAAGACTGAATCCAAAGTGTGTAAAGAAGTCAGTGAAAGGTGGAGGAGGAATTGTCATGGTTTGGGGGATGTTTTCTGCAGCAGGAGTTGAGCCTCTTATACAGCTACATGGCAGGGTGAATGCAAATGTTTATCAGAACCTCCTTCAGCAACATGTGGTACCTTCCCTGTAATCATCTCCCAATCAGCCTGCAATTTTCATGCAAGACAATGCTCCCCGTCACACTGCAAAACAGGTAAAGCAGTTCCTTAAAGCTAAGAACATTGAAATAATGAAATGGCTGGTCCAGAGTCCTGATCTAAACCTGATTGAAAATCCTTGGCAACAAAGTTATGGCTAAGAAACCCACTACAGTCACTGAACTATGGAAGATCGTGGAAGAAGAGTGGACCAAGATCACACCAGCGCAGTGTGAGAAACTAGAGATGTGCTGTCGCCACAGATGTGCTAAAGTCACTCAAAGCAAGGGCCTCTACAATTCCTACTAAATTCTGAGAGCTGTAACCCTCCCAAATTTGAGCTGTAATCTTCTTTTGTGCTGCAGTGGTTTCTGTTCTCTAATTTTGATCTCTGTGTTTTCCACAAAATAAAGGTTTTTGTTGAAATGCCTTGGTCATTTTGTCAAACATGTTAGTGGAACAGTGGTATACCTACAGCTAATATTACTTCAAATTTTGAGCAATGAAGATGAACAATATTTCAGAAAAAAATCAAGTATTTATAGATTGTTCTCTAATTTTGACCTCCACTGTATGTATGTATGGGTACTCTTGCAGACAGCTCTCTGCTTAACAGTCAAGATGAGCGAGGTTTCACACCACTAATGTGGGCTGCTGCATTTGGAGAGATAATGATGGTGGAGTTCCTCCTTCAGAAGGTGAGAAAGACATTTTCTTAGCCAATAAGACTGGACAATATATAGCATTTACTTTTCTTTTTAATAATATCAGGGAGCAGATCCAAGAACACTGGCTCGGGAACGAGAAAGTGCCCTGTCTTTGGCCAGCGCAGGAGGATTTGCAGACATTGTTAATATTCTCCTACAACATGGCGTTGATATCGATTCCTATGACTGGGTATGAGCGGTTTAATTATTTTCTGAAAATGTTCGTAAAATTTTAGACACTATTTAAAAATTGTACACAACCATTAAATACTGCATAATTTTTTTTCAAATGTAAAAACGTAAACTTTCTAACAGAATGGTGGGACCCCTCTTCTGTATGCAGTTCGTGGGAATCACACAAAATGTGTTGAAGCTCTCTTGAGTAAGTCTTTTCAAAATATTCTCGCATTTTATTATTTGTGATGATGAACTAAAGTAAGTTCGTGTTTAGGATGTGGGGCAGATATCACATTTGAGGCAGACTCTGGCTACAGTCCTGTTGCTCTCGCTGTTGCATTGGGCCACAAAAAAGGCAAGAGTCATTCCTTACAGTATATTGATATAACAAATCATACATTTTTAAATGATTAATTAATAACTGACAAGTCTACCAACTTGTTTGCAGTGCAAAAACTGCTTGAAGATCACATTTTGAAGCTGTTTCGGGGACCAGTGTCAGTGTCTGACAACACATGAAGCAGAGGACTGCTCTTACAAGACCTTACAATTATCCTGCATAGTTTATAGCTTTATTTTGACATGGACGATGTGAAGAACTGTTTTTGTATCTTTTTAAATTAAAAAACACTTTTACAGACATGCAGTTCATGTGTGATGACCTGAAAAGACATGTGAATATAATACATAGAGGCTCTGTAGAAAAAAAGGAAATGAAATCAAAAGTAACATCAGTTTATGCTTTTCCTGTGAGTAGGTGGGAATAAATTCAACATCCAGAGGTGAAAGGAAGGGGGAAAAATTGTTAGCATTCCCGCCTCTTCATACTTCCTCTTTGTCCTTTTCTCAAAACATTACAAAACCTTTTCCCCCAGGATTTCCAATGTGTAAACAATTATTCTTCCAAAAAAGTCAGCACTGTTTTCAAACACTATTTTCAACTTCTGAACCAAAGGGACATCTTGAATGGGAAAACTGTGGGTGAAGAATCAAGGATTTGATAAGCTTGGGATAAATAAAAGACATGGGCAATTTGGCCATCGGCCAGGAACTGCGAGAAAACAAAAGTTGTAGTAGGTTACTGTACTGGAAATGTCCACCGACTGTGACGGAGTTCAGAAGACAGTCAATCTGAGAAAATATGGTGATTATATACCTGCATTTATCTAAGTTGATGCAAAAATGACAAAAGGTGGCGATTGCTGTAGAATAATATTGCACCACGTGGAAGGATATTTGTAGACAGTTGTTGTCCTCTGGATAGAAGTCTACAATATGTTTGTGATCCTCTTTTTTGGCAGAACCTGTAGAAAACAAAACATTTAAATGTCTTTTATTAATTATTATCTCTTATTTCTGAAAATTGTTGGTCGTTCGTAGGTGCGAGGCCACAGACCGCAGATCAACATAGCAGTGATGTTTCAGTGGTGAAGGAAGCAAAGTTTATCCATGAATCAGTTGAATGAATAATTAAATGACTCACCCATTAAGGCAGTCACTTGTTTGGTACGTAAACGAATCATAGTTTTTGAGCGAATCTGTTGAATATGATTCAAATGACTCACTAAAAAAAGGCATTCATTTGGCACCACATTACTGGCGTAAGCTCCAGAAAGAATCAAACTAAAATCCCCCACCATCAGATTTCCATTAATCGTAATAAGCCCAGGAACACATAGGCCAGGGCTGCCCAAACTCGGTCCTGGAGGGCCGGTGTCCTGCAGAGTTTAGCTCC